CAAATGCCAATTTGCCAGTTCTAGAGCTATATGGCAAGCTCTCTCCACGACCCCAAAACTGGACCCCTTAGGGGGCCATCAAAGGGCGATAGCGGTGCAACAAAGCGAGGGTGTGGGGGGAGAGGGAAAGTTTCGTAAGCATCGACAGGCCTTCCTGTATGTATTGCCGGGCGGCAAACGAAGATCCCCACCTGCCTCGCAAGAGGGACCGTTCCATCAGTCCATGAACCCGAAAATCTTCCGTAGCGCCTCCTCTGCGCAAGCTGTAAGGTCTGAAGGTGTCCTTAAGTTTGAAGAATCCGGTGAGACGTTTAAAAGCCGATCGAAATTCGGAGCGAGAGCGAGGCCAAACAAGGTCCTGCTTAGAAGGGGCAAGATCACAAGCAGTTCGGGCAATAAGAACAGTAGGCAGGTGATAAATCACCACATTCTCATCGACCTGACGACGGATGCCTGTTTTAGTCTCACCAAGTCGCACGACCATGTTTGTCTTGGAAATGAGGAGGTGCCGAAATCTGACTTCAAAAATTTCGCCTGTCCTGAGCATTCCCCAGAAGCCCAAGCACAGGCAAAGTGCCAGCCTGAGCTCCTCAAGATCAACACACCGACCAACAAGTCCCTCGACCACCTCAATAGGGAAAGGTGGCGCTTGACGTGGGCGTTCCAGTTTCCGCCACAGTCCGTAAACCCGCCAAGCACCCCGAAGGCGGCCCTTCGACCATGGCAAATAATGGTGGAGCCCACACAGAGTGTCAGCTACACTGGTGATACTGGCTCCAGCCAGGTATCGCTCATCAATCCAATCCATCATAAATTCATCAATGTCCCTCCGTGTCCGCTCAAGTGCTTTGACGACCTGGCTCACAGCCAGGAAATAGCGTACGCGCGTCTTCTCGGTGATGGCACGGTCAAAAAGACTCAGCCTCCCTCGACGCTGACGCCGCTCTCTTTCCAGCTGCTCAGGCCCGGCTCGCCTCGTCCGTCGGGTTCTCTGCCGAGTCGACATGGGCCAGGTTTAGGATACAATGTGCTGCTAAAAGAAGGGCGTTGATTTTGTTTACAATAAAATGGAGCTTCCGGCTAGCCGTCCTGCCCTTCGACAGGATTGAAATGCTAACATAAGAATCGGAGAGGTGAAAAACCCGACGGTTGCAAATGCTCCTCTGCAAAGTTTTCCACAACAAAGAAAGGTAAATGGCGCGCACCTCCAATGCATTTATTTGTTCAGCTTGTCTCCACCTGGTTTTAAACACCTGCTGCCAGGTCCACCAATATGCTTGAGCCGATTGACGAGGGAAAACCTTTGGGTTCAAAATTTGCCCTGAAGTGATTCTGACATCGCTTCCAGTATGGCGGACCCTCGCCAGCAAATGTTGGTTAAGCTGTAAAACGTCTGCGTCTGCCGGAAGGTCAGGGATTTCGCGTCCAGTCTGAAGAGGACAGCGGAGCCCAAGCCGGAGCCCCAGCCCTGGCGGAAGCCCCATTCGGGAAAACAAATGGTCGGGGTCGAAGCATCCCGTAAACTTAGCCACCCCAGCGGCGGCCACGAGGCAAAAGGACCAGATTGAAAAAGAATCACCTACTTCACTGCACCTCTCATCCTCAAACTCCTGCTCGTGTCCCTTCTGCTTTGATGCTGCCATGCAGGCTTTTGTGTGTCCTGCCCCGTATCCCATCAAAATTTCACGTTCACCGGCGGAAAGGAGTCGTCCATTGCCTGTCGCTTTGGAGAAAAGGAGGTACTGATACTTGTACTGATAAGGCGGGAACCTAAATGCATCAAGTTCCCACCTAGCACGCGTGAGTTCATCAGTTCGCGAGAGGCCCGCAGGCTGCGGCGGGGGCCTCCCCCTTGGGATTGCTTTCATAAACGTGGGGTATATGACCTGTGGCTCGGACTGCTCCCACTCAGGGCTGAGCCATTGGCTAGGCTCAGGCCAGGTCCCAGCAACCGAGACCATCTTGTACCCATCGCAATCAGTAATCTCCACGCCACAGAACCGTGGCCGACTGTTTGGAACTTGAGCACTGGGATCTAGCTTGTAAGGGATCACGCCTACCAGGGAACTGATCTGGTCTCTGGCCACGTCCATGCTAGCCACATTTTCATAGAAAAACTCAAAGCCACAGCGTGGGAACAGAGCTCGGCAATCCTCAAATACCCTCAAGGCCTCAAAAATGAGACCACTTGAGGCACCAGCTAGGTTCCGCCGGTTAGCCCTAACGCTGCTTAGGTCCACACACGGGAACCCTGCCCAGCCATGAATTTCTGAAAAGTCTCCTACTCCACTTAACAAGTCCTTCAGGGCCTCTTTGTCCAGCTTCCGAACGTCATCCCAGAAAATCGTGTTTGGCCATCTCCGTGAGACCACTCGGTTGCTGGGCTTATGGATGTCACATGCAATATAGGCGACCACTTCAACACCACAAATATCATAACACCTGGCAGCGCCTCCAATTCCATTGAACAATGACACAACAACGACGGGAATCGGCAGAGGGGAGTTTAGCGGCCGCTGGGATGCCACGAACGCCTTCCCAGCGCTCGTGAGTGTCCTGGAGATGGCCACTGCTCCTCCTCGGAGACTGGCGTCACTGCATGTGATGGCCTCGTCAACCCGAGCCCCTAACCAAGTGTGAAAGAGGGGGATCCCAAAAACACCAAACAGCAGCTCCCGTTTGACCTCTCTGTGAAGGCAACCTTGAGAGTCCTTGTCCGTGATCCAGTCCCAAACTCTGTCGAAATGGGACATGGCTGGTCTCCTGAACTGGAGCGCAAAGCACCAACGGCCCATCGTCACCTGTAACTTCTTTTTGGACACATGGGACTGAGACGCTAGCCACAGCGAGCACTTAGCGATCTTAATAAGACGCTCCGGCCCGGCCCCAATCCACTGGTCCTTACCCCCAATGAAGGCTCCAAGCTCAATTCCGGAAGTAGCTCCGGTCACTGTCTTGTCCTTTGAAATCACAATACCTGCCTGGTCCCAAAGCCCTTCTGCCGTCTCCTGCATCGCCTCCAAAGCACCTGGGATGAAGCCTGCTACCTTAGCGCCTCCAGCGAAATTATCCAAATACACGTGCCACCATGGTCGCCCAGGGACTGGAGCGGCCGACGAAGAATCAATCAGCCAAGGAGGCAGGGGGCTCGTCTTAGAGAGCTGCCCCGCCGCGTCCAGTCCCCCCCTCAATAGGATCAATTCAGCCGCTTCCTGCATGACGCCCACCGCAGATGACCAACCCATCGGCAACACCTGGCAAGATAAATACCACAATTTGTCCCTCTTGTCAGCCTCATTCAGCCCAATCTCACGCCCTCGGAAAGAAAGGTTGAATGAAAGCAACCGGGTCCACGCCTGCGGCAGGCGAAAAAGGTAAAACGCACAGGCCATGTCACTTTGGGAAATCCGCAGCTGCTCCGACTTGTCGACCACCACGCTTAACCACTGAGTAATACTTGGGAGCCTCGCAACTCGTCCAGGTATCACTTTCAACACAGCATTAGCCGGGGTCAAATTCATGATCAGCCGCAATATGCTCTGGCCATTCGACAGGCATTTGCTCTTCGGTACTCCAAAAAGACCGCTGAGCACCTTTTCACCTCTATACCTCACGATTTCAGATTCCTCTGTCCACACACAAATGCCTCTCCTAACCAACTCACAGGCGATCGGCAGACGCTCCTCTTGCACGATGTGGATCTTCCCTTGGAGTCTCGGCAGTTCCTGCCCTACATCTGGACAAATACAGGCATCAGGATGCTCCAAAAGCCAGCGAGTCCGCTCCCCCACCCACTCTGTGATGGGGATTACACCTCCATGCCCCTCTGGAGGAAGGGCAGGTGCCAACCTAGCAAGGGACAACACCTCGGCCTTACATACCTCCTCGCCTGTGTAGGAGAGCGTTCTCTTGGCAAAGTCATCCATGACCTGATGAACTCCCCAAACAAACGAAACATCTTCACCAAGGATTCGGCGCACGCTAGCACGCATCGATGCCAACAAGTCCCTCTGAGCAGCAGAGGGGGCACCTGAACCTACCAGGTCCCCACAACCGGACAAGCTGTTAACAAACCAACGCACAAACTCGCACCAACAGTCCTCAGCCGATCTCTTCACTAGTTCAGAGTCAGCCAACAAAGCACTCAAATTCGACTGAAAAGGAAAACTCGACAAAGACGAATTCGGATCAGGCGGCAGGGGAAAAATCTCTCTCTTAGAGCGGGTCGCTCGTGGTGACGGACGCCCTTTTTCAGAAGCAAACCAGCTTCGAAGATCGTTCAGCAGACGGTCCCTGCTCGCCATCTGCGGGTGAAAAACGCAAAAATACATCCCGACACCCAGCTCGGAAAGGGATCCAGCCGTGTCCAAAAGGGATTTCCACCAACAAGCTTCCAAGCCTAGGCCGTGGCCTCCTTCTCCTTCGTGGCGTCGGCCTTCGCCTTGGAGTCCTGCTGTTGAGGCTTCTTCCAACTGTTCTGCCAGGGTTGCTTCTTCCACGCCCCCCGGCCTTCCTTGTTCCACTTGTCCCACTTGTCGTCGTTCTGATGCTTTCCTCCTTTTCCTTTGCCTCCCTTCTCCTGCCAGGGCCCGGCCTGTGACCAGCCACCGGCGCTTTTGCCCAACCGCCCCTTTGCCCAGGGGCGAGGCTTGTGATCGTCGGCTGCTGCAACCTTGTCCATCAGCTTGGAGTACTTCCTGGCCGCCAGCGTAATCGCCGGTCCAGCCGCCGTGAGGTGCTCTGGGGAGTACAACTCTAAGTGCTTTGCCGCGGACCAGTTTTGATCTAGTTGGGCTTGCTCGAGTGCGAACCAGCGAGCCGCGAGCGCGTCCCCCAGCCTGCCAAGGCGTCCAACCCGGAGTAGGTCGACGCAATTTGCTATCAAGAACATCTCGCGGCCGTCTCTCGTTTGTTGGTTCACTCCCCCCCCCCTGAGTGAGGGAGTGCCAGTAGGTCACGATCTTGGTCCCCTGCATCAAGGGATTCACGTTGCCGCCTGCCCCGGAGAGCTCGTTCAATCTTGCTTCCACCTGCTCGACCAAGAGCTCGAGCACTGAGCCCTCCTGGCGATCGCTGCGTTTCTTTAGGGGCGGCAAAAGAGATGCTTCCTCGGAGCTGTCTTTCTCGTCCGAGCTGCTCCCTGAGCCGTCGCTCCCTGAGGGATCGCCTGACCCCCCAGAGTCTCCATCTCCCGACTCCTGATCGGAATCCTTCTTCTTTTTCTTCTTTTTCTTTGCCTTCTTGCCTCCAAAGATGATGCGGAGTGCGTTGAAAGCTTTCTCTCTCTTCTCCTTCTTCTTCTTGGGCCTGCCTGCCCTGCCTTTCTTGTAGGCCTCCGCAGCTCGCAGCACCAGGCTCGAGGTTACCCCAGCCGTGCGTTGAGCATCCTTCAAGCTCTTCATAATACCATCTTTTTGCCCCTCCACTGCTAGGGGCGGCGCCGCACGGCCCCGGCCAGCGAAAGCCTTCGTCTCGATAAGCTTCCTCCCAGTCGTCAAAGGCGCCACTGCATGGGGAGCATCTCCAGCCTCCTCTCTCCCCCAATCGTCTCCATCGTTGTCGCGATGAGCTCCAGGCTTCAAAGCCTCCTGGCGGGCACGGATTTTCTCCAGCCTGCCTCGTAGTGCACTGGGAGCTGTTGGGTCGGCGTTGTCCACCTCTTCCACGTCCTTCTTCTTTCTTTTGGGGCCAGCAGGAGGTCGGCCTCCTTTGCCATCCCCAGTCACCTTGCGCTTCGCTGTCGCCTTCGCACCTTTTGGATCCTTTCCAGGCCTCGGCTTCAAAGCAAAGCCTTCCCTTGTTTCCCACTGGTCGGAGGGCTCGTCGTCCTTGCCAGTGAGGACCTGTTTCAGCAATCGGCGCCCCCCTGACGACAGGCGGGAACCCGGGAAAGTTGCACCGTCCCACAACTCCAACTGACGCACGTGAAAAGCAGCGCCTTCGTGCAAGCATGGGCCTTCTCCCAAACAAATGTGGAGTTCGCCTGCTCGACGATTGAACAATGAAGATAGGGCCGGAAGTGCGTCGTCTCGACTTGCTCCAATCACCCTCACCGGTACCAGCAGTGATCCATCTGGTTGCAAAATGCGATCGATCACCACAAAAATAGCTTCTACCCCTTCTTGGCCAAACACCTCTCCTGGGACCTCGGTAATCAAGATGTTTCCAGGCTGAGGTGCGAGCAGGCTCCATCGTACTGTATCTCTCACATCGTAGCGGCCAAAAGGGCTGTCTCCTTCGGCCTCGACAGGCATTTCTGCCTCTACCCCCGAAGTCATTGGCGCGGCCTCGGAGGCAAGCCAGCCACTGACTCCCGGGGCGCCTGAGGATCAAAGTCGAAATACGATCGATCCAGGCTCCTGTGAAGCCTGACAAATGGGTTCGCGTCGGCGCGACCCAAGCGCTTGTGTTTCCGACCAGCCCGGTGCGAATGCTTTCTTCTTCGCTTCTTCGGCCGAGTGTCCCCTCTCCGCGAACGGTGATGTCCACGGTCAGTAGTCCTCGACGTTCGATGGCCTCTGGCAGTCTCCCGCCTGGTTGACCCTCGATCTGGCGAACCTGGCTCGACGGCGTCAGCCTGGTCCCCTTCGTGTCGCACTGCAGCCGGCTCCTCCTTCACGACCTCCTCAGTCTCTCGCGACGGCCGCGCCTCAGGGCGAGCCTTGGAAGCAACCCCAGGCGGCCCTCCGGCTGCCTCAGGCACAACAGTGGTGGCCACCGAGTCGCTCTCAGACTCCTCCGATTCCTCGGAACCCCCCTGCTCGGCCTCCGGGCCTGCAGGTGCGGGCGAGTCTCCCCGGGGCTTTTCAGCCTCACGGGAAGTCCTTCCCCCTGGCCTGGGGGAGCGCAGGAGGGGCTCCCTCCTGTCAGAGGCCTCGGGGAGGTCCCCAGCCTCCTTGGGCTCAGCTGCCGCCGGCCTCAAGGCGGGAGGCCGTGCAGCCTCGGTGACCGGCGGCGCGAGCCGGGTCACGCGCAAGGCCCGCACTTGCCTCACCGCCGAGACCACAAGGTCGGTGGCCACGGCGCGGAGCGCGGGGTGTGTCCACTGGAACCCCAGCTCCGCGCCGAGGGCCTCCCAACCGCTGCAGGCGAGGCACCAAGTGTCCCCACCCGAAGGTGGAGACCGCTTGCACCTCGCGCAGCGGTCCATCCAAGACCGAAGGCTAATTTGAGCCAATGGCCGCATACGTGCCTTCGTGCAAAACATCTCGCTCTACGAGCAGATAACATAGGCGGGTTTATATAGGAGAGAAGGGATCCTTTCCCATTTGTGTTGCAAGCTTGTGACCTATCTTGAAACACCAACTGACACTGTGACCAATATGCTGTGAACCAACAATCACATAACACCGGTTGGCCATGACACGATGACACAGCATGCGCCCGCGCATCAAAACTTGCAGCAGAAACTCAATGCTGGAAATGGACAGCAAATTAAGGCTGCAAACTTTCGACCCACCTGTGCCAATTATCTTCACAATGGCTTTTGACATGCCCACCCCAAGAGCAGGGTTGGATGATTGAACATGTTCAAACCACAAAGCACATGTATTATATTGGAATGCCAAACAGCGTACAGCATAGGGAATTCAAGCACACACACACACAAGCTTCTGAGAGGCCGGCCGAGAAAAAGCAAAGCTGGTCGAAACATGAGACTGTTGCCTCCTGTGTCCGAGGCGAAGACATCGGCGGGAGCCCTCATATTCACTACAAGTAGACACGAACACTAACAAGCACGCAAGCCATGTATTTTCACCTGCTTGCCCCTGCGCAGCAAACGAACCAGATATGACTTCCCAAATGGTTTAAGCCTATGTAAGATTGTATAAGTCCATCCTCAAGGGTTTTAGCTTCGATTCTCTTGAATCTTGCCCGTCGATGCAAATGGACTTTCTTGTTCTGGCCGCAACGGACGTTTCGACCGGAAAGCGCCTGCAACAGAAAGGGCCTGAGATAGCTGAGGGGCCTGGCATGTTTTTTGGAGCCCAAATGGTGCAGGAAGACTCAAACTTGGGTGCAAACTTATCCACCAGCTCCAACTCGCTATTCCCTCAGCCTCATGCCTTCTTTTAACGACCCTTTTGTAAAGACCGACGAGGCTTCCCCCCGTTTTCCATCCAGCCTTCTAGAGATCAATCCCAGGGCCCCTCTCCGTCTGAGCCAAAACGTGACCAGGACAGCACCAGGACTTCGCACAGTGACGGCACCATTGACGGCACTTCTGAAGGAGACACCCAGGTGGAATCTGAACCTGGACCCACTTTTGGTTTCTGTACAAACCAAATCAAACCAGTGGCTTTCCAGTTGAGACTTTTCTTGGCGAAACCCATGGGGGAGACGTTGAAGACTTTGCAGGGAGGTCCGGGGAACTCCAGCTCCACTACCAACGGAAACTATAGGAAGCGTGTTGGCCCTTGGCCAAATAACCAGCTCTTGAACAGGATACTCTTCCCTCACAAAACCGTTGATTGCGCCTAAAGGATTAAAGGATCGGCTTCAGAAAGTGTCCTTTCTGGATCTTTCTGGGGTGTTTCAGGATCCCAGAAATGAAGACGACAGGCCCTGACCTGATGTTGACTATGAAAGTAGCTAATCATCATAGTAGTCATACAAAATCAAGCTGGTAGTAGAGTCTGAAGCACAAGCCCACAGTCTTTGCATGTCTTTTCGCTCTTCAACGGTAGCGGCTTCCGATTCTTAAAGTCTGTGATGGGACATTGCAGTCATTGATGCCCCACGCCGCTCAGAGCACATTTACTGTAGATCAATTCAGCAGTCCTAGGGTAAGCGACAAGTTCTGTGGTTCTTTGTCGTTCATCAACCCACAGCATACATCACTGGTACACCAAAAGCCGACACGGAGCAGTCTTGCTCGTCCACGTACATGATCAATGTCTAAAAACACATAAATCAGTTGCGACAAAACAAAAGAAACGCAGTTTATGGTTTATCTGATTTAACTAATCAGTTGGGTTTTTGAGTTTGACCTTGTGACTTGGAATGCCATCCACACTTAGAATCACTTAACTACTTTGTCAAGCCACAAGGTCAGCCTCTGTGTGGAGTCCGCAGGACTCGGCTTTGACCTGCAACACCAGCGGAAGTTTCTGCAAAAGGTGTTGGGAAATGGCCAAAAGCAGGATGCGAGAATCACAAATGATGCTAGATCATCCAATCTAAGACTTGGAGCCCTTGGATGAAATAGACTGAGGCTGGATAAGAAAGAGTCTCGTCGGGAAGTTTGAGTCGTAAGCTAGGGTGATCATGGCTGGGACGTTGGCATGTTCGTTGTTTTCATGATTTCGCTCTGTCTGCCCCCCTTGACAAACCTGTTCAAACTCAATCAACGTGTCGCCAAGCGAAGCTGCTTTTAGAACGGCAAAAGGCGTCTGATTCAGCGACTACCTTCACTCACACGGCATGCCGGGCCTGTTCATACCGCCTCGAGGTATGAATTCCCAAGATGCCAAAGATCTTGGACAGCTGCTCCGTGTTGAGGATCAGCATGGTGACCGTCGGGTGCGGCCTGTGTTGGAACCACAGAGGACACCTCTCCACTGTCCACCGAAGCGTGTGAAACCCACCAAAACACATTGTTCATCATTGTTCTATTCATATCTTTATATATTTTTGTCCAAAGCTTCATTTTCAGTTTCTCACCTAAGCCCAAGCGAAATATGCAGCACGGTAGACCTTTGAACAATTGGAGGAAAAACGGGCTTTCCAATTGAAATGGTTGCCAGGGCTCCTTTCCAATCTCCCAATCCGAAGGACCTTCCAGGTATTGCCATCTAAGCCCAAGACTGCCCAATTAATCGGAGAGTTCACAAGCTACTGTGGCTATCTGAAGACAAATGAACAGTCTTGCTTGTCAGCTTCTAACTCAGGCCCATCGAAACTGGAAACCAACCTTGAACCCAATCGAGCGCATTCGCTTGGCTGGGCATACCTGCAAAGGTGTGGTGGTGGAGCAAAGCTGCACGTGCAATTGGATGGTATGCAGTCAATCCTCACTCAGCATCTTTGACAACCAGGCTTTTGTCATGTTTTCCACATTCTTCTACACTGTGTTGTCGCTTCTGCAAGCCTTGCATCGGAAGATTGCACAAAGTAATCCCAGCAATGCACCATTGCCAAACTCCTTAGGGTCCACAGTGAACTGGACGCAGCCCGAAAATGTCCGAAACAAGTCCGACTCCGAGAAACCCCTGTTGGCTTGATCGAGAACATACTTGTCAACGTGAAGGATCATTGAAGGGCATCGCTATTAGTAAGGATCAAACTTGTCATTGAGGTTGACATCAGCACTTCGCATACTATCACATACTTCACGACAGCTTCACAAGCTGTCAGCTATTTTTTTCAGCATGGGACAACGAAATCTGGGCTCCCCACCCCAAATTGAAACAAACACTGGTGATGATCGAAGCAAGCTGAAAGCTGCGGCACCCCATCATGCAAATCTGTGAACAACTTGCTTGCTGTAACGAAGAGCAAATTTGTCCCCCAAAGTATGACCACTGACCTGCAACAACGACGTTTGTCAGCAATCGCTTCAAAGGGAATCGACCAAGCGATTGATCTTCAGTCTCTTGAATTGTAGCGCCTTTGAAGATTTGTAGCGTCCGGTGTTACCAGGATGTCTAGACCAAAGTACGCTTCCAGGCCACGCAGTGACGCGTGTCACCACCGCGCGCGCTTTCGTCCTGCCGCGCTCGTTTTCCCTGCGATGTCGCCGCCGACTCCGGGAATCGTCCCATCGGGACAGTGATGGATGCTCCGCAAGCAGATGGACAGCGGGAGTCCGAACACATCCTCGAGGTGTGCAGCAAACAGATGGACAATGATCCCAAAACGCACATGGAAATGGCGCATGGGCAAGGGAAAGACTGCATCCAAAATGAGGCTTCATACACCTTGATAAGCTGATATGATGTGCTAATTTGATGTGTGTGTGTAACCCTTGGAATCATATTTGGATTTTAGCAGGGGGTAGCGGCAGATCATTTGGGACCGCTACCAACGAAGACGCCCACTTGATCTGGTGATATCGGAGTTGGCCACTCCGACGTACCTGCGATTTTCCTTTCTTTCTGAGTGGCATGAGGCTAAGCCAAGAACCTCAAACTGCAGACATGCACGACACGTCGTCATGTCGACCTGCCCGCCGACCTCGATCTTGCGCTTTGGGCCACCTTTCCTTTTAAGACCTCCAGGATTCGATGGTCTCCTACTGGTACTCTTAGGAAATGGAACCCTAGGCCGGCGTGTGGCACCGCTGTCAAGTCAGTACGCATATCCATGAGTGTGTTTGGCTTCGTGCCAACCCGGGATGAGCCCGCAGAGTGCCTCCCGTGGACCCGTCGAACGGGTGTACGTCTTTCTCTCCCTTGCTTTGGAGAGGTAGGTGTCCGGAGCGGACAGCAGGTGGCCCAGGCCGTACGTACGATGATCTTTGTCTCATCTTTGGAATACCAAGTTGGCTTATGCCTTTACGTGACCGCAGCGGTCAAAGCAGCCAGCCATTTCGGCAAGGCACAAGGTGACCATAGCGGTCAAAGCCAGTTTTAGGTTCATTGGAACCTGTCGAGCACTTAGCCCCCCTTCTCCCCCTTCCCTCCCCCGTTCTTTCTTTGCTTTCTGGGGTTTTCCTGAATGCAATACTCAGGATCACCCCTCTCTTTCTTGGGTGTGTCCCTGGACGATTGTTCGTAGCTGGGAACACCTTCCTTTCCTCTCCCTTTCTCTCCCTCTCTCTTTCTTTCCTTCTCTCTTTCCTCTCTTCACCTTCTTCCCTGGGTGTCCCTGGATGCTTCGTCATAGCTGGGAGCCCTTCTTTTTGGTGTGTCCCTGGGCGCCTGTGTCGTAGCTGGGAGCACCTTTGTCTCCTTCTTTCTTTCCCTCTCTTTTCTTCCTCCCCCTGCCCCCTCTTTCCTCGCGCGCGGCGCGTTTACAAACAAACTAGGCTTCTGCAACAGGTTTTTCTAATGAGGTTTGGTTTGTCATCGGTTTGTTCCCGTTCATTTGGTTCCCCTTTCATCGGCCCCCACAGACGGTTATTTTCCTCTTTTCTTTCATGTCTTTCTGTCTTCATGTCTCTTCATCCTCATCCTTTCTTTCTCTTGCGCGCACTTTCGTCCGGACCTTAGTTTGTACACATACACGCACGCGTACTTTACTTACAGCGAGGTTCAGGTGGCCCAGGTTCGTTACAATGAGGTTTGGCTCATCGGTTGTCCTCCTTCACTTGGTTCCTTTTCATCGGCAACCACACACACCTTTGTCTGTCTTCTCATTTTCATCTGTCCCTTTTGCGTGCACATGTGCCTACCTCCTTTCCGGGCAGGATGGAGGTCACACATGCCTCCCTTCGGGGAGGCGTGTGTGTGTAACCCTTGGAATCATAGGGATCCTTTTGGATTTTAGCAGGGGGTAGCGGCCGATCATTTGGGACCGCTACCAACGAAGACGCCCACTTGATCTGGTGATATCGGAGTTGGCCACTCCGACGTACCTGAGATTTTCCTTTCTTTCTGAATGGCATGAGGCTAAGCCAAGAACCTCAAACTGCAGACATGCACGACACGTCGTCATGTCGACCTGCCCGCCGACCTCGATCTTGCGCTTTGGGCCACCTTTCCTTTTAAGACCTCCAGGATTCGATGGTTTCCTACTGGTACTCTTAGGAAATGGAACCCTAGGCCGGCGTGTGGCACCGCTGTCAAGTCAGTACGCATATCCATGAGTGTGTGCTTGACAGTGTGTATACTTCTGTAGCAACTGCGGCAAACGCAAAAACTGCAAAGGCGTAATTTAGCTGTGACACTCCCGCATGAAATCGCTCCTTGAACAATCTTCGTCTTTACAATATTTTACAATTGGCCCGACCACAGAACCGACTGTACCAGTGGTCGCAGCGCAGAAATCCCTACAACTTCTTTGGGTTGTTGATCACAACACATCATTCTGCAAGAACAATAGAGTTGGAGCCTCCCCCGCGAATTGAACAGGAACATAGACTGTGAGCCAAGCTGTAAGGTCAGCCTCTTTGTGTTTTGTCCTCGTGAAGCACTCTGCTTTGACCTGCAACCACAAGCATTGCTCTATGACAGTGGAGGGGAGCGACGCAGGCTGAGATTGGGCTCTCGGTTTTTGATGCTCTGGAGTCTGGAATTGTGAGAAGCACCTCCAATCTACCTGGTTGCCAGGTGCTGTACCTACAAGTACCTGCCAGAGCCGTCTTCAACTAATTCAAATCTCAGTAAACTCCAAGGGGTGGTGTGAGGCTGGGAGCACCTCAGACCTGGCACCAACTCTGGTCCCTATATAACCATCCATTGGGATGGTGCGATAGACTCCTAAGGCTTCGCATGGCTTCGCCTTTCACCACAGCTCCCATCTGGGGCGGGTGGGCAGGGTGCAAGCAAGGATGCGGTTCCTGAGCAAAGAACACCTGTTCAGACAAGAGGCAGCACTTGAACTCAAGGAACAACATGTTCAAATGGAAGGGGATTGGGATGTGGAGTGATTCCCTTATGCAGAGTATCCCTGCAACGTTCCCAAAGCACAACAACTAAAATGTACATAAATGTACGAACACGCATCACATCACACATAAAACATCACAAGACATTCATCAACACCTATCCGGTTGAAGGTGTCTGAAAAAAGATCTCTTCACCAAAACACTTTTTCCAGGTTCTCTAATTAATTAGCTCGAAAACTGCGCAGACATCCCAATCTCCACTGAACAAAATTGAACATATAAGTCGGAACAGTGGCAGCTGTCAGTCAGGTGAAGTCTCATCAAAAGCCACTCAATTTTGTCATCTTCAATCCTCAATTTTGTCTCGATCCGATTCTGTGTCCCGTCTGCAGGCCCCATACCTTGTGACCAGGGAAGGTGAGCGCCTCCGATCGAGGTGATCTCCTTGCGGCGGAGGTCCCAAGAAGGGGAGCGTAAAGAGCTCGACACCATGGGGATCCCCCAAAAGCAAGAAACAGGAGGAAACAAGCTGGGTGAGAAGATCCCTCTTGGAAACAAGCTTTCCACCCAGTTTGTTTGTGGAGTTTCCCAGCTGGGTGGGAAGATCTCCACTGTAACAAGATCCAGAGTTACAGTTATTGACATTAGACACACGAGTGCCTCCCTCTCTCGCGAACTAATTCAGACTGGGCTGATGAAACATGAGACAGGAGAAGAGAAAGTGAGGACTAAACGCGATGAGCTGAGTCAGCCATGCGATTGAGCAATCAAGATGGGGAGACTATGGTTGGTTGAAGGACTAGAATCATTGGAATGCCTAGTGAGGTTCTCAATGCTAAAGAATCAGAAAACGACCATCCAACCGATGCACGATCAAAACCAAGCTGGGCAAGAATCTTGGAGAAACCCCGCCTGCACTCACCAGCACTTTCTATCTGCAGGACGGTTTCTGTTTGCCAAACTACCCTGGTCCCTCGGGACGTGGACTCGCTGATCGAATGGGCCTTGTGTCGGAGAGGTCTTTGGCACCATCCCCAATGAATGGACGATCGCGACGCCGGGCCAGAATGGGCCAGAACTCGTGGTTCAGCTTTCACCGAGACCTCCCCGAGCAGCGACTGGACGCGACCACCTCCGGGACGTGACGACGTGAGGACGTTCGACCACGGCGGCACCACCCGGGCGGTGGGCAACGCAGCTTGGGTCCTGCCCCGAAGAGATCGCCCAAGCACTTCGTGCCAAAGGATCTACTGCACCTGGAGGGTGAAAAATGTGAACAAAGGAGGCACATGGGGCGTGGGATGGCGTGGGTATGCCATGGTATGCCCCATGCCTGGCATATGCCGGCATGCTTGGTTGTTTTCGGTTGGATAGGGTAGTCGTTGTCCTTTACTGCTTTGGAATTTCAGCGCAATCTATTCTCCAAGGAAACCTGCACTCATTGGTTGAGAAGTCTCCTGTATGCCAAAGTTCCTGTTCAACAGTAGCGGACAGAATGAACATACAGTCCCTTACGAACTACTTCAGTCCGCTGTCCTTTGCATCACTTACCGCTTTGCTTGCCGTGCGCCCCTTTCTCAGCTCCAGGGCTGGTCGTTTCCAGATTTACTAGCTCAGAAAATTGGCATGGTTTTCCAAAGCTGAAAGACTGCCAAGAACGCACTCTGCTCTCAGTGCACGGCGCTCGTGCAGGGCACAAAACACAGCGGTAGGAAAAGGCAGCCTCGTATCAATCGGCCGTCACTTCGTATAGCTCTAGCACCACCACTGTCCACGTCCACTATCCACGATCTTGACACCGTCATTATCCACTAAACCCACTCCAAAAGCACCTGTTTTTCAACATGAATTTCAATCATCCACTATCCACATAAGGTCCTCAAAGGTCTGCGCAATGGACTCGGAGGGAAACTATCTCGTGTTCTCCACCTGCCTGCAGCCTGCAAAGGCAAATTCCCCACACTCAGATGGATCCAAAAGTCACTGTGCCAGCCACCGTAACCACACCTTGGAACATCCTGGAACATGCATTGCATTGCATTCACATCTTGGCACTCATTGGATGCTCGAATGGCATTTCATTGGATCCGAAGTTGTGCCCGTCTCCACCGAGTAGGATGTGGACCCTCCCGTCTCCGGCTCCTGTCTCTGCTGGTGGATCAGGTGCACCCATCTTGGTGGTGATCTGCAACAAAGGGAGTTTGGGCAAGTTCGGCACCGAGTTTGGGAGAATTCGAACTGGGCCTTTCCAACTGAGGAAAGTCATGGGAATCTCGTGAAACCAAACAAAGAAAAGAACATTCAAAAGCTTCGAGTCAGCGCATGGACTGAGGAGATCTCCATCCAGAAACTCAAACAAATCTGTCGCATAGAAGTATGAATTCCTGGGACAAGGACATTGACCAGTCCAATTCACTCACTCTGTTTGCCTATATGGCAACATCTTGCTGCTACATTTGAAGCATTTGACCTTGCGAAGGCAAACCAGGTAATTCATCCCAGCGACATGGCCTACCTTCTTCCAGAAACTCCGCGTGATCAAAGCCGAAGTCCCCGTTCTCATCGAACCTGTCAAAAAGTATCATGATTTATTTTGCGGTAATCAAAAAAAATTAGGGTATGCAATGATGAGTTGATGTATCGGCGAGATGAAGCAATTCTGCCGATATTATATGACGGAAATTGATGAGCTGGAGTTAAACTGGAAAGGTTTAATATGGTTTGACGCACCCGATTCGGATGAGGCCGATTCGAACCAGCAGAGTGACGCGTCGATCACGTGATTGGACTGAGCGAGCTGCACCATTGCGCGAATATTTCCGAAATCACCAGTCCATAGAGCACTCGTGCCTGTTGACCCTGAGGTAAATGCCAAGGCCAAACCTGAAAGAGGAGTGTTGACAGCACCGAAGAAGGGTAACACTTGTTCGAGACCACTCAGAATCTTGTGGTTCAGTGTCAATGCGGAGAGCATTAGTCAGTGAGTCAGGAGGCCTATCAATGGCGTATTCTTGCATGGTCTGGGCATCATCCTCCAGGTCCACGAAATAGGTATGGTGTCCTGCAGAGGAGCCGAGGAGTGAATATGCCAGGTCCATTAGGCGGAGTCACTTGGACCGTTATTGTTCCCAGCATCATTGAATGATCGAATCATTTGGCGGCCTTTAGTGTTGGTCTGCAGCAATCTGCATCATTCTCTTCTGCCAAAGAAATGACTTCCTAGAATCCTAGAGATCACCATGGAATCGACTCGACATTCCGCGCGAGTGGATGCGACTTTGTTCACTTCAGTCACTTTTGGAAGTACCATCTGGCTACCTGGTCTTGAGCGACCGATGCCCTGAAGCACCACCGGTCCTGGTGCCCCAAAGAGATCGCCGGCCACTTCGGCCGAAAGGATCTGCTGAGCCTCGACAACTGGGAAGGCGCTAGGAAGGCGCTATGGTCGGGGTGCTGTGGAGTGGAACTTAGTCCGGCTCCTGGATTCTTTGACTGCCTGGTTTATAGATTGATTTGGCTCAGCTTGGTTGGATGAGAGTCGAATCCAAAATGATCTCACACAACCACCCGTGGGACTGGAAGTTTGATAACAATCATTGAGTGGCACCAACTTCAATGAGGATCCATGCATCTGTCTTGCTCATCCATCGCCAAGTAGCAACTGCAATTCCAAGTCGCTGCCTGGCCAGGACAAGTGGAAACACTACTTGGATCTACTTGAAATGCAGGCGAGGAAATCCGAGCCAATAGTAATACTGTAGATGTGACAGCAGCCTCTGCCTCTTGGATCCACCCAGATGGTTGGAGACTGCAACATGAATCAACATGGAAGTTTGTGCTGAGGACACCATACTCAGCACATCTTACCAGTATGTTGTAGTACATTATGGTGGTCATGGTAGCTTCATCCTTCCCTTCCCGTTGCTTGGTCCAAGAGAGTCCGCCCCAGGTGCCCGCGCTCAACGATGCGCTTCACCACTCCGACGTTGTCGTGAGGCCGGAGGTCCAGAATGAGGCGCCTGGCTCCGGTGTCACAGATTCGGCTCAAGAAATGCAGGCATCAGCAGTCCAACCAACCTGACTTGTGATCTGATCTGTGGCATATGAATCAGCAAATCCAACGCAAGGATTGAATCCACTGGAGAAAACGCGGTGATTAGGAGTATATATATATATATACAGTTCTAGTTTGCATTCCAAACTCCACCTTGCCCACGCCGGAGCCTTGTGGTGTACTTCTTCAGCTTCTTCTGGCCCTTCACCTGCTCCCACACCGTCGTGTCGTAAGCAGGCCTCTGCGAGCGAAGAGGGACACGTGCCGTGGACCGAAGACGTCCGAAAACGCAGGTCATCGTGGGACCGGATTCTGTGTGGAAGGACAGCGACATTCCTTTCCATCATTTTGCAGAATACAGAGTATTTCGCAGTGTAGCCTTTCAATCATGCCTTTCCACCTATTCCTAGTCCCAAACCACGCCTGGGTAATGAACATCCTTCGCATCCTTTTCCATCTGAAAACAATTGACAATCGTTCCACCCGACAACGGGCTTTGCGTCTGTTTTTTGGTCCAGAAATGGCCGACTGAGTTCCCGGCACACTGACCACCAGCTCAAAGCCCTGACTCTTTCGCGAAACCGGCAGTAGCTGAGAAGGGCAGGGTGGGCGCCTTTCAGTGGTAGCTGTAAGGGATCCACCACTGAAACCGACGGAACTTCGCGGAACTTCGTCTCAAAGACTCCAACGGGTGAACACATCGACCCTCTCTTGTTTCCCGTGTCCTGGAGGAGCATCATATAGCCTCATATAGCATTTTCCATGCAGATTGATGGACCCCCAGCTCTGACCCCCTGAACCCCTTCACAGTAGCTCTGACCCCCTGAACCCCTTCACAGTTGTCACCTCCCATGTATGCCACCCGTCCAGTGGCTTTGTTCAGCCTTGAGCTCAGGCTTCACCACGAACTTAGGCGGCCAGTTGTCCTTCGTTCGCACGTGTGCAGTTAGAGTAAGCACACGCCTCTGACAAAGCGGTTCAGTGTTTTTTTTTCGTTAAGCTGGAGGCATACATTTAAACTTTAAACTGGACGGAGAAAAAAAACTGAGACTCTCAGGACAGGTAGAAATGCCATCTCAGAGCATCTCAAGATATGTCGAACACAACTTCCATTGGCTTGGTGTTCGTGATCAACAAAGGCACCCAAGAATCTTTGGTCATGAAATCATACGATGCCTTGAGGTAGAAGGGTGAGACAAACAAAAGGCCTGCCAGACTTGTATATCTGGTACATTAAATATGACCTTTTAAACCTATGAAATGTTGTATATCTTGTTCATCATGTGTTATAATTGAATGTTTCTAGGTCACGTTCCATCCACCGAGTGGGTGGCACTTGTTGATTCATGTGGTCTGCTGGTGTACTGGGGCCATCACTAGGCCAAAGCCTGTCCACTGCACGTAGCACTCCCCCAGCTTCATCTCATCCTGCACAAAACACACCCTCAAGCCGCCATCTCCCTCGGCTTTCTAGTTGACCAATCTGGAGATGGCTTGACCAGGCAATCTTTGCTCTTGGCGAATGCGGCGAAGCAATCTTCCGAAGAATCCAGAGCGAGCTTTAAGGCCCTCTCAAGGGATTCTGACGAAAGACGAGGGAGAAGCACTCGTGTCCCACCGACATGGGGGAAACCCGACATTGTCCCACCATTTGCAACAAACCCTACGTCGACATGTGTTCCCTTTAAAGTTGGCTTCCAATTAAGATATGCAACTGCTCAATCGTAGTTGATTGGACTTCAAGCAAATATCCATTGGTTCAGTGTGTTGACCTGTCTACACCGTCTACACCTTGGCGCCACAACTGTAGGGGGTGCTAGGCTTTCACAACGGCTGGGCATACTTTCCATTTAACGATTAGTAGCAAGAAGCTACGAACGGAGCAAAGGGCATCGCTACGAACGGAGCGGTCGGATGCTACGAACGGGGCTCCTAAGAAGGCTACTGTCGATGCTACTATGCTACTTTCACATGATCGAGTTGCTTCCGGATGAACGTGACACGCCACGACCCGACCATTGCTTCAACCACCCAGCGAGCTCGTGCGCCCATTGCGGCGTTCCGTCCCGCAGCTCGTGTGGAGGTAGAAACACCCGGGGAGGTCCATCGGTGATCCCATCCTGGTGCAATTCCAAGTAGCATAGGGATATCTAGTGCATTGCCATACCTTGCCATACAGTACAACACTCACAAGACTACAAGACAGCGAATCTTGCGCCTTGATGAGCTTCTCTTTGAGCATTTCAATGGTATCCTGTCCACGAAGGCCTGCAAGTAAGACCTCCATCGGACCAATGTGGGGAAACACTCGGTGGGTGGCTATCAACGGGGCAGTGATCAGGTGAACAGCAACACTCAGTGATCAGGTGAGCATTGCTGGGTCGGCTTAGCCTCTTGGATGGGATACGTCCTCCTGCAAATTGGGTTTCTTGTGGTGGTTGTGGCAGGAGCAGGGTGAGGAATGTACGGACACATGAAAACCTATTTTCTGAGTCCTCTGGTGGTCCACAGCTTGTGCGCGCTGCAGAACCTGAGCCTACCTCACAGGCACCCAACGGGACTGTTGGCAGTAAGCTTTTTCAGTCTTCTCAAGAAGCTAGCAGGCTCTAGCTGACGGTGGTAGCTGGCGGGGGCGCATCCTGAATCGCTACAGAACCTCCAACCCCGTGAGTTTAACTCTTGGTTGGCTGCCCCACGATAGGGGAGAAGCCAACCTCTCGATGGTCGGCGCGCTCTTTTTTGTTTCACACCCCGACAGCACAGCAATCTTGCCAGTGTGAAGGAGGGAAGTTCCACGGTAGGATTGTTGCAATGCTTGGGCCAAAGCGCTAAAACAGAATCCTTCAGATCTCTATGCATTGCAGTGGTCAAAGAGAGCTCATGATCAAGCATCATTGGTCTCTTCAAAGATCTCTTCGAACATCTGTGGGGTTTGGCTGCACCAGGTCCGGTGTTAGTATCTCCTCGGCACTTCTCAGGGTTCCGTCAAGACGACCACTCCGTTTCTCTCGTGGTTCGATGATTGTTCGATACATCTCCGTTTTGATGGGAACATGACGAGAGGACCTTGAAATCTGTCTTTCAAAGGCAGAATCCATCTGTGGTGACATGTGGGAGTTCCCAGAGGCGGACCTGAAGTGTCAACTTTTGTTACTAGTAGTAATGCCAGGAGATACTAGTAGCTTCTTGTTCGTAGTAGCAATGCCCTTGTTACTAGTAGCTTCTTGTTACTAGTAGCAATGCCAGGTGCTACTAGTAGCTTATGGGTGATCTGAGTGATCTCTCCATGGATTTCCGTGCATGACAACAGTTGACAATTCTTTGTGTCTAGACCTTCAGTTGAGATCCTTGTTGAGTGTCAAATAAGCGAGAGTCTCTTTCTCAAGATCTGCAGTGAACCAAATGATGCCTGTTCTTTGGAGACTGCAACACCCTCACGCTGTCACTGAGACAGCAAGAGATGTGGTGGCCAAACTCAGCTAAGGCACCTGATGTTGAAGCACTTCTTCCTCAGGATATTCCAAGGATGCAACTGATGCAACATGTTCTTATCCAGCAAGATTACACTACAGAAACTGCTTCGCAAGGTAACCGTGTCATGGAGAACTTTGCACTGCTAACGGAGAGTGAACGTGAGTAACAGCAGCTGTCACGACCAGGGCGACAAACGCACGAACGGACCCAAAGGCCACCAGCGGTGCATCCTGGAGTCAAATAGATGTACCGCTGGCTCCCAATCCGAGACTGTGCCAGAAAACGATACAAGAAACTCATCGCCTGAAAGCAGGGAATGCCAAGAGAGCGAGGATGTTGATATAATATCAGCTCTATGACATACTCAGTCTGTCATACATATTGTCATCTATATATATATACACATTCTTTTTAAGTCGAGGTTTAGTGGGTTTGCCATGGTTTGCCATCATCCTCTTTCAAATCCGAAATCCTGAAGCATTCCTCAAATTCCGGAACAAACAAATGAAACCATGCCATGATATCATTGGAGATTCATTGTGGGGACAGAAGCACTGAAGCTTCCCTCATCGTTTGTTGTACGGGACAGTGAGATGCCTGTGGTTGGCATAAGTGCAGTCAAGTTGGCGAACAGATTTGCCGCCCAATAGCAACCAGCATTCAGCCAGCAAGGCATGTTCCTCGGAACCCCAGAAATCACTGGCTTTGTTGGTCTTTGTCAGTCAGTGTCGAGCAGAGAGTCCAATTCATGACATGGGTGTGTATCAAAATAGGGAGGCCTCCCAAAGAATCCCCGGGCCCCCGGAAGGTTCGGGAAATAGACCAGTCATGACTCTCTACCGAATTGGTTGGGTGTCTCCCCATTAAAATACACACCCAAGTCATGACGCTTCTTCATGTCTGGTGGAGATCCAGCGAGCTCGTTCTGTTCTGAAAGCAACGCCTCAGCTCTCTGAACGCCCCGTGCTTTTCACCGACTGCGCGCCGACTGCGTCGCTCCGACTCCGACCATCTTCGACCCTTTGAAACGGCGATCGGGGCGAAGGATCCGCTGGGACCACACGGCCAAACAGCTGGTACAGCGCGAGGGCAATTCCTCGTTCCGATGGCAGTCCTCGCCGCGGAATCGAACGCTCGAAATCTCCCGTGGCATCACATGTGAACGAGCTGCATGTAGATTGGGGTTTGATATGGTTTGAAGATCATGCTGAGCTTCGGATTCATCACATAGTCCAACTATCTGTTCATGACATGAGACTCCAGCAAGGTTCAACAACGAAAGCAAAACAAAGAACTGAACATGATTCTCCTACTGTACTTACTTCTACTATCTTCTACTAGCCGGATCAATCAACAATTTCGGCGCGATAATGTAAACTCTTGCCTTCCACAGGTGGGTGGGTGGGTGTGGAAACCACCGTAGTAGCCTCGTGACCTTTCTCCGTCCCTTTTCGTCGTCCCGAACTCTCTCCCTTTCGTCCTGATGCACATCACGCCGATGGAACCTGCAAAAGCTGTGGTAACAAGTGCCACGCTAGTAGGAACAAGTGCCTTACTACTAGTGACAACAAGAATTTAATTGGAATTGTAATTACTAGCAAATTGTCTTCTACTAGGACCTTTTGATGCACATCACGCCGATGGAACCTGCAAAAGCTGTGGTAGCTGTCGATGTAATTGCTCCTCGACAAGTCCAACTCCAGCGTCGTGTCCTTTGAGCGACAACGTCCGACGCTCCGCACCGACGACGCGACGAGCTCCGACGTACCGAGCTACGTACCGTTCGGATGAAGGGTGAAAGCTTGGCACAATGGGTGACCTAGCTCCTTTCCGTATGGGTGAGGCCAAAGCATGGCACGACACATCATTATATATATACACATTTTTATGTCTAAATCTTGATACCTCCAAACATTTACATGCATTCAATCTAGTGTACTGTCTCAGCTCTAGTGTGATACTGTCTCACTCTTCTTTTGCCACGGCACGATTTGGGTCTGTGTCGCCCTGGTGTTGGGGATGAACTCTGGTGTCTGGTCCTGGATGACCATCGATTCCGGCACTGAGATGCACAGCTGTGGAACAGGTCGGTTTTTAGGGACACATCGACCTTGTGACGGGAGTGTGTCCAAACATATTGCAAAGCAAATGGGCTTCAGCAAATAGGCTTTGCGAGCTCTCTCCAGCTGTTCGTGTTTGAACTGGCATTTTGGAAAATTGTCAAGCCCAGGGGGCTCAAGGGCCTTTCTCAGTGGTTCCACACCTATTGATATTATGGACTTTTTCCATGGACAGTCAGCACACCTTGCGCTTGCACCTGAAGGCCAACAAACCCAGGACGACACCACAGAACCAGAACCAGTGGGAATGGCCAAGCTTGCTAGGAAGCAAAGCAATAGATACATCATGATAAATCAGGAATCCATTCACATGTTGGTCTGTACATGTCTGTATTGATTTTGGGAAACAATTGTAAAACAAAACAAAACAAATCGATGTAACTTGTAAACACTTGGAAACCTTTTTTGGTCTTAGGAACCCAATAAGAGGCTGGGAAAACACTCAAACGACCCGGTCCTCTGAGGGAATGACACCCGTCGCACGGGCATAGTGGGTGTTCACCCGCTTCCGCTCGGTGTGGGTCTGTGTTCTGCCATCCTGCCATCGATGACTGCGCGGTGTGCGGTCTGTGGGTGAAGCAACTGCGCCCAAGGATGACTTCAATCGATGCATCTGAGTGGATTCAATTGGCTGTTGGACAGCAACCAACAGGCTTCTTCACTTTTTTGCGTCTTGGAGTTGAACAATTGCTTGGTGCACATGAAAGTGTTGGTTTCACTACACGAGATTGCACGACTGATGAAACCTGGACTTCCTGCCATGACTTCCTCTATAGTGCGACATTGATGGTGTGGGATCTGTCCCTCCCAGCAAGTTCTCCCGTCCTTGTCCCTGGTCGTCCTGGTGACAGTCCGGTAGTGGTAGCCTTGTGATAGGCAACTGAAAGGACGATGGTGATTGGATGAGATGAGATGAGATCGGTTCATGTTGTGTCATAAGCATTCATAAGCATCAAGTTCAAGCCGAAAAGCAAAAGTACAGTATATAAAGGGTTCAGAAATACAAATGATAGTTTTCCCACAAGCTACCAATTGCTTCTCACCTAAAACGAGGAATAGATCTAGCAAAGGTCTTTATCAGAATAAGATTTTAGTGCTGCTGGAGTTTGAACAAATGGTGGAGGTAGCTCACTTCGAGCAAAATCAATCCCTTAAGGATCCTTAAGGTAAGAAATATACCATGCAATACCACCAAAAAGTATGACATATGCTCCATTTGCATCCATTTGCAAAGGTTGTGGTTGCCCAACTTCTGAGGCTCTTGCATTGGACCGTCCAGGTGTAGTGAGGGTGCTCGAAGCGGGGACGGTCCATCTTTGCGAGGACCTCGGACTTTCCATAGAGGAGCTTTTTGTCGCCAAGCCCAAGTCTTACGGACGTGTCGCATGAAGGTCTCTTCTAGGGGGCCACATGGTGGTTGTCATCAATCTGTCATTCAAGATCATTTGCCCATGAAAAGAGATATGACTGTCAACCCCACATCAAGAGGTACAGGTCTAAACTATGACTCGAACTGAATACTCTGCCGAGACTCCTGTGAGACCACGCTATCAAAATTAGTTGTCTAGTACAGTACGTAAAAACACCTTGTCACTCAAATCTCTCAGAAATCTCTCGTTTCTACCTCATTTCCGGTGCATGTGCAAGACCTCGATTATAAATTACTGTAACCTCCAAAGGCCCTAGC